TAAAATGTTGAAGTGCTTATCAGAGCCCTGGCTCTGAAAAAAATATGAAAATGAAATATAACATTGGCACATGTAATTTTTTCCTACATTATATAAACCACATAATTCTTCTTTTTAAACAATTTGATCTTAGGATACAGAAATAAACACTTGATATTCTAAATTTTTTGAAGCAAGGAATTAACAATAATAAAATATTTAATAATGTTTACAAATAAATTCTGAAGTGAACGCTACCTGATAAAATGAATGTTGAAAAGTTGCTCTTGAATATGACATTAATAACAAAAGGCTGAATTTTATTTTAGGGCTAGCACCTCCTATTTTCTTCTCCCATGTTTACTTGCCTGTTTTAATTTCATTATTATCATAAAAAATGTTTTATGAGGGTCATGTTCCAGCTAATGACAATAAAGCAGAGGAAAATGCATGAGAACAAGTGTGCAGTAGTGATGCCTTAACTTTGAATTTGATAAGTATTAGTGCCATCTCGTGGTTTAATGCAATATTGCAACAAATCAACACAGGCACATGAATTTATTGTTTGGGGGTTTTTGTGTTTTTTTGTGTGTTTTGTTTTTATACCAACAAACTAAAAATTTTGGTATAATATATTTATTAGAGATTAACCACATGTTAATGGCTTGGATTTATTGGGGGGGGGGTTATTGTAACAAAATTCCCTGATTTCATTGGGAAGTGTATTACAATAAAAGAACCTCCAAAAACATGTGAAACTTTCTGATCTACAAAATATAATAAGGTAACATTTCCTAAAGAGAGACAGGGGATTATTAATCTTGAAATATGAGCTTAAGAAAAGTAGGCCCTATGGTCAAAAAAGTCTGGTAAATGCTGCATGGCCTGTCCCCTTCTTGGAGAGCCCATTTACTTATTGAAAGGCCATAAGGGGTTAATTTCCAAAATATGTAAAAGAACTTACACAGGAAGAAAACAATCCAATTAAAAATTATTGAGAGATAACACACATTGAAATAAAACTGCTAGAATAAAAAGAAAATGGGCAAAGGACCTGATTAGACACTTCTCCAAAGAGGACATGCAGACGGCCAACAGACATATGAAAAAATGCTCAACATCACTAGTCATCAGAGAAATGCAAATTAAAACCACAATAAGATATCACCTCACACCTGTCAGAATGGCTACCATCAACAAATCAACAAATGACAAGTGTTGGTGAGGATATAGAGAAGAAGGAACCCTCATACACTGCTGGTGGGAATGCAGACTAGTATAGCCACTGTGGAAAACAGTATGGAGTTCCTTCAAAAAACTAAAAATGGAACTGCCTTTTGACTAGTCCTAATTCTGGGAATATATTCTAATAATCCCAAAACAACCATCAGAAAGAATATATTCACCCCTATGTTCAGAGAAGTGTTATTTATAATAGCTAAGGTCAGGAAACAGCCCAAGAGCCCATCAGCAGGTGAGTGGATAAAAAAAGATATGGTAGGGTTACACAATGGAATACTATGCAGCCATACGAAAGAAACTCTTACTTTTTGCACGAGCATGGATGGACCTGGAGATTATCATGCTGAGTGAAATAAGCCAGTGAGAGAAAGACAAATGCCATATAATCTCACTTATATGTGGAATCTAATGAACAAAATAAACTGACAAATAAAATAGAACCAGAGGTATGAATACATGAAACAAACTAACATAGATTGGGGGAGGATGGGGGTACTACATGGAGGAAGGTGAACAGATTAGCCAAAGAAAATATATGCATGGCCCATGGACACAGACAACAGTGTGGGGAAGGCCAGAGGAAGGAGAGGCAGGAACTGGGTGTAGGTGGGTAAAGAGGGGGAAACGGGGGACATCTGTAATAGTGTCAACAATAAAATTTTTTTAAAAAGCTATAGAAAACAATTCCATTTAATTCTATTTTAAACCAGCATTTTCCAAATACGCTTGACCACAGAACTCTTTTTTTAATGCTAATAATATCTATTCATGTTATCAGATAATAAATTGCTGAAGTAAGTTTGGAAAAGCACTTTCAAACATAGAAGATTACATGCAAAAGTTTTACTCACTCTCAATTAAACAATGTCTTCCAATTCTGTAAGCTGTAATCATAAGTTGAAGGTTTTGAACTATTAAGGACTCTAAGTCACTAAAGGTCCCCTAAGTTAATAACTTGAAAACAGTTAGAATATTTTAAAGAAACACGACTATTAAAACTTTAAATTTTAATGATTGTCCCAGAGGGCTAATCAATGGTTGCAAAGAGAAGTACAGCAAATTTTATCCCATGAAGTGAAAACAAAGTGAGGAAAGTCAGGTGATTGGCGCCCATGAGTGTGCACATGACTCTGTCACTCCTATAGTTATGACTGTGAAATTTGCTAACATATCTACTATCTCCAATCCAGGTCACCCTGTGGCCAAATCTTCACGTTAATAAAATATTTCATCATCATAACTTGTTTTCAGAATCCTAAAAACAGCCTTTCTCTTTCTATTATACCAATCCTTGAGATTTTTGTGCCTGTCACAGGCTAAAATATCTATCCCTAATCCTCAACTTAATGCTTAGACCTACTCTTGTTAGCTGGATTGTTATTTCTTCAGGCTGTTGGATATTTACTACCTCAAATGGCATCATGGATATGATGACAAATTCTGATTCTGTACTAAGTACTGAAGATTTTATAAAAGGGACCCCAAAGGCTCTGGTATTATAGCGCTTATTATATTTTAGCAGGTAGCAGTTATGTCGATGCTTTTCAAAATGAAAGACAGTAAATTGATGTAGGCCATGACTGGGAAAATACAAATGGGTACATGGGTTTTAATAACCTTCAATATATGTTTTACAACACTCTTAATTCCCAGGATCCTCAGCCCTAAGTTGGGAACTGCTGTTAATAATAGTCATTTTTAAGTACTTAACATTTTTATTGCATTGAGTTCCCTAAAGAATACATTAAAACAGGTTATGATGATATAGCCTGCATTTACATTTATAAATATTTTTTAAAGTTTGTACCATAATGATAAAATTAAACTACCCGAATGGGAATTTCGCATGGGAAATTGGGATCATTATTTCATTATGCTCAGGTCTCCTAGTAGGTGCATAAGAAAAAGGGCATTACATTTATTTGAGGAATGTGGAGAGTTTTGAGAGAGCCTCCAAGAGATTCAATAAGAAAAGCCAGATCCTATAAGGCACCGTATGTTTCCCGTATATATTTATGTGTCATTGAGATTAGGGGAGTGTAAGGAAGGGATATAGATAGTGAGTTTAAGGAGATCAGTATCATAATTGTAATGCCTAATATTCATATGGTGCTTTTCAGTTTTCATAGGCCCACTCATACTTTCCTTTAAATCATATAGACATAGTTACCATCTATAACTTCAGTTTGGGGAGAAAACTGAAAAATCAAACAAAATTTTATTATAAGGGCCTCGTATAAAGAGTTATTTCCTGAAGATGAAGGTTGTCACACACTGGAATAATTTACTTGGGGTCATTAATGATACACCTTCTCTAGGAATTCTTTTTTTTTTTTATAATATATTTTATTGATTTCTTTACAGAGAGGAAGGGGGAGGGATAGAGAGTTAGAAACATCAATGAGAGAGAAACATCAATCAGCTGCCTTCTGCACATCCCCTACTGGGGATGTGCCCACAACCAAGGTACATGCCTTTGACTGGAATCGAACTTGGGACCTTTCAGTCCACAGGCCAACGCTCTATCCACTGAGCCAAACCGGTCAGGGCTCTAGGAATTCTTAATAAGGACATAGACTCATTAGGCCAAGACTGATCTCATTCATGAGTCAAAATAGGAAATGGTATATCTGTGTAAGTATGTAAAGGCCCTTCTCTCTTGCAGGTGTAGTAGAAAAAGCACAAGCATTAGAGTCAAATAGTCTTGGTTGCAATCCTAGCCATCTCTTGCTGGCTGTGTGTCCATAAGCAACTTACTTGACAGCCCTGATTTTCTTTATTGTAAGAGGCTGTGGGTCTACAGGAAAGGCCTGACCCCACTCCAAGTCATGTAAAGGACATGCAGTTGGCTTGCACCCCAGTTCTTGTGATCTAGGCAAGTAGACATTTTGTCATAGCAACTGTTTGTGATAGCAACTGTCAAACATAGATGGAACTAGACAAAGCTTGCCCAGTCTTGCCCAGTCTATAATGATCTGCTACTTCCCCATGGTAGGCCAACCCCTAGCAGTGCTCTATGAAGCTTAGCTATAAAACAGTGTGTGTAAAAAATAAAGTTACTGGTGCCTTGTGCCAGTCCTCCTAAACCCCGGTCTCTGGTGCTTTCATCCCACGCCGCCATTACCCTATGGGACCATTTGGGAGCGGGTCTCCACACTTTATTTTGGGAGCTTGGGAGATGTTAAGGGATAATCTCGAGAGGACTTCATAAACATTTGTCCCCTTCCCCCTGATTCCTTCCTCTGAGACCTTCATTCCTTCCTAACGAGCTGAAACTGAAACTTCTGAGCAAAAGAGAATATGGAACGAAGGATGAAATTGAAGCCCAATTTGAGACTCATCTTTTTCTAATTACGCCCATTAAACTAGTATAAAATTTTAGCAGCATATGTAAGTCTAAAACTACTTAAATCAGCCAAGATTATGGATCATCCTTTCTAGAGTTAACCAGATGATACCAAGAGAATGTCAGATTAATCTCTATCATTTATAACATGAATTACATTTACATATGCAGCATGCAATAGAGTTTTTTAAAATACCAGAACAGGGTTACAGTATTGAGTATAGAAGATTGATAATGATAATTATTAGAATAAATAATTTACTGTCACTTTAATATTTCAGGAAAAATTTAGTAAAATACTCTTAGCCCTTATTTTCCAGGTGATAAGCTTTGTTTTTATTCCTTGAAATACTTGTTGGTGAGTAGATGAGCTATTCTCTTGCCTCCATAGACAGGCATAATTAACATGGATCAATTTGCTTTTCTATATCAGGGACAAGTGACCCATATGTGAAGTTTAAAGTTGGAGGAAAAGAAGTTTTTAGAAGTAAAATAATACACAAGAACCTCAATCCTGTGTGGGAGGAGAAAGCGTGCATTCTTGTCGATCATCTCAGAGAGCCATTGTATGTGAAGGTGAGCCATTTATTTGTTTTTCACTAATGCAATTTGACATAAAAATCCCTGTTTAATGACTTTTTGTCCTGTCTCTCTGTCTGACAAGATTTTTCACCAGAGATGCAGTCTGCTGTGCACAATTCTAATCTGTGAATGATGTGATAAAAAATGAGATCGAAGGGAGGAGGAGGTGTGGGAGCATGTTCTTCAGGACAGTACTATTGCCAGTCAGTCATTTAGGAGGACTATGAAGTCCACCTCCTCCTGCTCTGTGTGGTCAACTGGTTGAGTGCACGTTGGGAACATATACAAGCAAGTCTCCGTGTAAGCTAACAACAAGGAAATCTTACACAGTAGCCAGCCTTTCTGATTAAGAATTATATCAGGGCATCTACCAGTCCTGATTGCAAACCAAATGCTTTACTTGGAAAACAAGAAAGGTAAAGATAATAGGGGGAGAAATATTCCTGTCTCTATTGTATTATCAAAGATGAAAAAAAGTCTGTTCTTTAACTGAATGTAGTTTTTCAAAGAAGGATTTAAGGAAAGGGTTACAACCCTAATTCCTTGTTTTAGTTTCATACTTGACTTTCCTTTAATTCATATCTCTAGGTACATATATTCATTTTGGCTCCTATGTTCTGAGGACCCGTTCAGTGACTAAACCTTTTTCTATCTTTTCTACCACACCCTTCATCCTTTTCTCTAAATTGTTACAACTGGCACATGAGCCAAAAATCTCATATCATCGCTCTTTCAGCAGTCCCTGGACATCCTCCTTCCCCTCAACTCTCCATTTGTATTGCTTCCAGTTGTATCTCTTCTCCACATAAAGAAAAAAATAGTCCAGGTTTTATTAAACTCATAGCATGACAATTTATAAGATCAATGAATAGAGAATTTCCTAAGTCTACAGTTGATAAGTTTCTAGAATTCATTATGGGGAGAATAGACTTATTTCACATAAGAAATAGTCTCAAGTGGATTTAGCTAAAGGAAATCAATTAAACAGGATTAGTGAGCTGTACTTTAATATATACTATGCGGTGGCATAAGAATGATTGTGAGAGTATCCATCACCAACTCCTCCCACCGAAGAGATGACCTTCAGGGACAGAGATGTTTCTCCCTTGTTCCTCCCTTCTAGAAGGAAAGAAATGTCTACATGAGGAAAAAAAAGGAAATACCTTCATAATCAGAGATGAAAAAAGAATTTAAGAAAGACAAGTGGGATGTAAAGGAAATTTTCTTTCTAGGGAGGTTCAGAAGAGATGAGTTAGAGCAGCTGCAACCATGAAGAAAATGGGTTGAAAAAGAAATCGGGGGTGAATAAGGACAGCACTGGACAGTTGGATCTCATTTAACGTCCCTAAGAGAAAAGTCGGAGGGAGAAAAGGAGTAACTTTTATTTACCTTTGTTGTGGATCTGTTTCTTTAATGGGATACTATGGTATGACAGACGGGTGAGTCTTTACAAGGCTTACAAATGAACTTCCCCAGCAGATAATTGGGTGAGTTCTTTCACTTTTCTTTTGTATTCAAGAATGAGTATTACTCTATGTGAAAATCCAAATGTCAAAATGCTTATTTCAAGAAATCTCCTAATTGGGTCAAAAAGAAATTAAAAACAAGAAAATGATGGGGGAAAAATTTTGTCTAGGAGTGAGAGAGCAAGAATCTATACACACAGATACACTTGTACTATAAATGGAGAAGGTGACACTGTGTGCAGATGAACGACACACTGTGAACACAGAAGCTGGGAGAGAGCACCCAAGGGTTGCTTTTGTTTCTCTACTACTTTGAGTTCTCCGTGTACAACATTAAGTAGCCACGGCTTCACTTCTACCATACAGAAGATACACAGTGAATTGTAAAAGTTTTCAAGTTAAACAGAAATCACACTGGCCTCTCAAGTACTAGTACAACCACAAAAATGATCATATTTTACTTTATGTATTATGTTATGATTTTTAATATGCTTTGATATTTTTTATTTGATTTTCATTTTCTGTTAATTGCATAGGGCTTCTTTTGAAAAAAAATCTCTAAATTTTTGCTTTATTTTTTTGTTTCATTTTATTCACTTTTTGCCTAACCTTGGACACACAAGGATCTAAATAAAATACATTGGTAGAAATGATATTTGAAGTTAGTAGAATTTCATGAAAATTGCATCATTTTCATGGTCTCCACACAGCCTTGTGTTGTTGACTGACTTGATTTTAATATAATGCCCACATCCTCCATGAGGGGAGATTAATCTTGCCTGAAAGATTTCTTAGGGACTAACCAATTCTGTAGTGACAGGGAATATGAAAATGTATCCATGAACTGGATGGTTATAAAATATTAAGTGCACTACTTTCCCATATCTAGTCAGAGGAAAAAGAACCCATGTCTACCCCGGGGTCTGATTTCTATGGATGGAAAGCTCACCAAGGGAAATACTAGTAACATAGTTCTGAACGCAGGTTACAAAATCACATTAAAGTTTCAGTGTTTGTACTGAAACTTTCTAGTAAAGACAGATTTTTTTTTCAAAAAATCCTGGTACTGGATTTCTGCACAAAATAAATAAGATTATACTTTGCAACTGGTTGAGATTTGTATAGCTTTTAGTTTAGTGGAAAGAAAATATTCCTTCCATTCTGAATGCCTTCACAGTAAGGGCAGGAGGTGAAAACATTTTGGAAAAAGGGACTAAAAAATCATTTATAATAAGGTAGGAGTAGAAGTAGGGAGTTAAAATGTGGTACTTCTAACAGAGACAGGAGCCTCTGGAGCCTGCTCTGTACCCTCAGGGATGCTTTGGCACATCTTAAACAATGGGGTAAATTCAGCATCCATTTCCACTGAACTGAATTAAAATTCTCCATTGTCATTTCACTGACTCTGTTATCTAAGGTACACAGTGAAAACCCAGAGTTATAATGGAAGAGACAGAAATACTATAAAGGGGAAATGTTTGTGTAAATTGTTGCATGTTTGGCCTAATCATGAGCTTGTAACCTGGGCATTAAATTGGAGTGCTCTCTGGAATAATAGAAAAATGTTGATACTTGGGAAAATAGTTCCATCAGGGGCTATATTACTGTTTCTTAGATTGTCATTTTAACAAAAGTGGTAGTTCCTTAAATGACACATGTCTGTTTAAGCTTAAGATATAAGATTGAGAAGGTACTATATGGTTGGTTCAATTAAAGGACCACATTCCTGTCTTAGGTAAAATTATTCCTCAGTAGGTTTTAAGGGCCCTAAAAGGATGTCATATACCAATAATCTCCCACCCTGGCTGTACACAAGATTATCCAGAAAGCTCTAAAGACTCTAGATGTTCTAGTCTCTTTCCTAAAGATTTTGATTCAGGACTTAGGAGATAGAGCCCATGTTTCTGTGTTTTAAAAAAAACAGTAGTTTTTTCTGATGCACTGCTTAGGTAGGGAGTCACATTCCTAGACATTTACATGGAAACAACTGAACAGTTTGAATGGAAATATGTTTGCAGTCATAAACCACAGAGAACCCAGAAGAAATTATTCTGAAGTTAAACAATGTTGGTATTATCATGTGTGTTTTTGTTTGTTTGTTGTTGTTGTTGTTTTTTTTGCATGATTCAAAAACACTTCCTAAATGCACGAATCAAGAATCTCCTTTATTTTAGATTTTAAAAATCTATAGGAAAACAAAACAAAGAAACAAACAAAAAAACATGATTATACTTGCTTTTGCTTTATGGGCAAAGAACGTGAGGTTATTGAGTCTTGGGATAGAATCTAGAGTCACATCATAGCTGCCATTTACTGAGCATTGTGTTAAGTGCCTGAGCTATTGTATCTCATGTATCCTGATAATATCCCTACAAGTAAGTAACTGCTATCATCTTTTTAAATTTTATTAAAATTATTGGAGTGTTATTGGTTAATAAAATTACGTAGGTTTCAAGTGAACAATTTTATAATACACATCCATATATTGCATTTGTGTGTTCACCACCCAAAGTCAAATCTCCTTCCTGTTAGGGTTGGGCAGGTGACAGGGGCTGTGAAAGAATTCACAACTAAAAGAAGAGATAGAGAGAGAAAGTTTATTTTACTTTCCACTAAGGAAAAGGGCCAGTGCATTGCTAATCAATACAGGACAAGAAACTATAAGCAGCTTCCCCTTTTAAAGGGTAATGGCTGCTGTTGCTAGGTGACAAGTAAGGGAGGAGGATTTGGGCTGAAGTGAAGTTTGTTTTTCAGGAGACAGTCTGGACAGATGTCCTAGGGAGGTGTCTTATCAGTATTTTCCCCAAACCTATAAAACATGCTTAGAGCAAAAATTATGAAGAGTTCAAAAGAGGCCTGTTTGAAGGGAGGGAATAAGGGAATTTTCTACAACTAGAGACTCCTTGGTGCAAATTATCCCTGATTTGCAAAAACACCAGGAAGGAGTGTTATGCAAGACTGTAGCCTTGAGAGTAGCTTATCTTGTCTTGCAGTTTGAACAGAGGGGCTGTTTGAGTCAGAGGAGCTAACAATCTTGGGGTCTAATTACCAGGTGCTTCTCATAAATTGTGGAAGGCTACATCAAAGAAAAAGAAAGGCCTTTTTTCCTGTCCTTACACTTCTGTCACCATATATTTGACCCCCTTTATCCTTTTATACCTTCCTTCCCCCCCCCTCCCCTTTGTCTCTGGTAACTACCATACTGTTGTCTGTCTGTCTCATCTCCTTTATATAGGTAAATGAGTCCCAGAGGGATGAAGATTGCTATGTCCACTCAGCAATAAAGCAACAGAGCTTCTATTTTTCACTAAAAATGATTAACTGCAATGGCCACAGTTAGTTTTGTTTTGTTTCATTTCTTTGTTTTACAATGTCAGTTCTATTCTTTAGAGTTTAATTGTTCTTTTATAGTAAAATGGTTATTTTAAAGCTGCCTAGGTATGAAAATGAGTCATGGATATATTTTCTGAGAAGAATCTTATATCTTGGGTCATAGTGTATGTATGATCTGGGTACCTTCCCACTTTCTATTCCCATTAAGCCTCCTTACTTCATTCTATTGCCAGCTTCTCTTATACAAACAGCAGTTCCCATTATTCCCCTACGCTGAGATATTTTTCTCCATGGCACTTGTGACTACCTAACATGCATTTGTTTATTGTCTGCATCTTTCCCTTATACGGAAGACCCAAGTAATCAAAGACTTTGTTTGTTTAACTGCTATATTTCCAGTGCCTAGAACAGTACTTGGCAAATGGTAGGTGCTCACCAAATATTTTTTTCATATAAATGAATGAATAAAAATATGAATCATTCAAACCATCAAATTAAAACTCCCCCAAAGCCATAATTACCTAGGAATAGTTCAGTAATTTGAGCTAACAAGTCCCCATTCAGGCTGATGTCAGTGGGAGTTGTTTTCTGTTATTTGCATAAAAAAGTATTTTAACTGATCCACAACCTAATTCAGTTTTTATTGGGAGACAATTGACTCAGAAGCTAAACAAATGCATTTAGTAGAATATGTGTTATTTTAAACTCATTTGAGAATGAAGAGAGGTGTTACTGAGCCCCCAGGCAATTTCTACCTAAATTTACCTCGTATTTCCAACACAATGGAGTGGAGGGTTCATGAAAGCAAAGATCCCATTTAATTGTTCACATTTGAATTCCCAGAACTTCACCCAGAGTTATGTTTGTTAAATTTCTGAAATTCAGTATAACAATATTTGAATCTGACTCCTTTCAATCCTGGGATTTAAGGGAAAGTAACATATTCTTTTTAAGTTTTGGATTCATTATCTGCAGAACGGAACAATACCTTGTTCACTGAGTTGTGTAAGAACTAAATTTAAAAATCTATGTAATGCATTTAACACTGTGCCTAACATATAGTAAATATAGAAAAAAACACCATTCATCAGAATTAACTGTGCATATTGTGTAGTGGGAGTATCTTTTCCTTTTATTTATTTTCTATGCTCTACGTTTCTGAAGCTCCACCTAAAGCAGTGTTCCCTCTGACAAATGGTTTATAGAACTTGAACCAAGTAATATAGCTAATAATTTCGTAACGAATGAATGCTGATGTTTCCATTTGGTCCCAGGTTTATGCGTTTGCTGGTTAATAGGAATTGAGAACTAAACATCTAGCATTAAGACAGTAGGAAAGACTCTCACCATGAGAGTAAACAGAGTTTAAATGTTGAATCACCCAGCTGGGCTGTCTATACTTAACCAATTCCCTAGTCTCACAGCTCTTCACTCACATGTACAGGTGTACCCCAGGTGTTCTCATTGATTATACTTCACTATAGTCTCCCCAAGATTTTAAGCCTTGGGGTAATACAATTAAAAGAGATTGTACAAGAGAAATTTCTCTAATTTTTAATGTAAATTTTATGTTGTAAAGTACAGTACTGCAGCCACTTGCAAATACCCAGGTGGCAGTTGCATAGACGTGCAATATATTCATGTGATATGCCACTGAGTGATGACTAAAGCTCAGAAGTGTAATTGATCAAGGAGAATATTTATTGCAGGGGTGCTGTGCTTTCTACAACAAATGTACTTCTGAAAGATAGTAGGTAAATCAAATGACTGTAAATTGAATAATTGAAGAGGCATTAGGGGAACTTATTACTTAAATAAATCCCCTTATGACTCCTCAAATTTAAGAATCCTTTTATAATGCAAAGTATTTATCTTACTGTTTTAATATTGATTTTTTTCACGTTAAGAAGTACACCTGCACTAGAGAAAAAGCAGTAACTGATTCAGGCTGCTGTGGATGCTGTTACCTCTGCTTCCAGCTTTCAAACTTGTACCAAGAATTGGGCACAGGAGCACCGGGCTATGGATTCTCACATCCTGGAGAGTCTACTGGCCTGGGTTGTCCTTTCAAGAGAGAACTTACCTATTTATACTCATATGCTCCAGTATAAGAGTATACGATTTTCTGTTTCAAAAGGTCAAGAAACACAGCTCAAACTTCATCTAGTAGCAGTTTTTTCATCTTAAAAATTTCCTTGACCTCCACTGTTTTTCTTTCTTTTCAGTCCCTGTTCTTTTCTTTACAACACTTACCAAAATGTGTAATCACCTATGCACTTCCTTGTTTAATATGTGTTTCCTTCACTAACCTGTAAACACTGACAATGTCAGTTTTGCTCACCACTGTTTTCTCAATGCTTAGCATAGTCTGACACATGATAAGTACTGAATCAATCTTGACTGAGAGAATGAATGAGTAAGAAAAACTTAAATACATAAAAATTAGCCAAGTCCCATTTACTTAGAGCAGTGGTTCTCAACCTTCTGGCCCTTTAAATACAGTTCCTCATGTTGTGACCCAACCATAAAATTATTTTCGTTGCTACTTCATAAATGTAATGTTGCTACTGTTATGAATCGTAATGTAAATATCTGATATGCAGGATGGTCTTAGGCGACCCCTGTGAAAGAAAGGGTCCTTCGACCGCCAAAGGGGTCGCGACCCACAGGTTGAGAACCGCTGACTTATTTTTTTTTTTAGAAAGGCCCCTAACTGGTCTAGCTCTGAGCTTTCTCTCCAATCTCCTTCCACTCTCCATCTTTCTCAATCTGCTTCAACCACAATGGTTTCTTAATAATTATCCTTGAATATGCTAATTGCTTGCTGTTTCCTCCACCTAGAGTGCTCTCTCCTTACTAACAGAGGTTAATCTTTCTCAGCACTGGGTCTCCGTAAGAACACACTTCCTCCAAGGGGCCTTCCTGAACTCCCTATCTAAAATGACAGCTCCCAACACACCCCTTAGATTTTTTTTCTCCATAGCGTCCATCACTAAACTGTACATGTCTACTTGGGTATTTATTGACTGTTGCACCTCTAAACATAAGGAAGTCAGGGACATTGCCTGTCTCATTCACTGAAGTAGGAATAAGAACCATGAAAAGCACAGAGAAGATACTGGGTAAATTGTTTTGACAGATGGAAGAAATGTTCTCTCTTTTCTTGACTTTTCTGTTGTTAGTCATGTTAGCATTTTCCCCTAGTCATTTCTTGTGATAATCAAATTAATTTAACTTAACGTTAATATAACCTTATTAAATGCTTCAATCATATCTCAATTTTCACCTATTTGTATGCTTCAATGATATTGTCCTATAATGTTATAGAATTTATCTACAATGACCTGAGGCATATGAAGAACTTGGAATTACATTCTCATCATCTGTAGCTCAGTTTGGAAGACATCTTTGTTGAATTTCTTACAAACTTACTCTGCCTTCCAGGAATGCTATGCCCTTCTGTAATATGAGGAAAATATTCGAAGTCTGTGTTTCCCACATTTTTAATGATTTATTGTGTATTGATGATTTATTGTATTTTATTGTATTGTTATAAATCAATAACTTTAAGTAGGAAATTAAATACCATGTTCTTTGAATGCTTTCTGAGATCCTAGTGTTACACAGCACAGAAATAAATTTTTAAAAATAAATACTAGGAAATGACATTGTTTAGGTGACATTGACAAAATCCAATACCAAGATGTTTTCATTTAAAGCTTATTTTGGAATTTTTTATAATAATGTCTTCTTTTTGTCTTCTTAGGTATTTGACTATGATTTTGGACTACAAGATGATTTTATGGGTTCAGCCTTTCTTGATCTCACACAGTTGGAGTTGAACAGGTGATCTTTGAACTGTCATAATATCACTACACTTTGTTAGGAAGCTGGGCCAGTGTAGTAAATAATGTCAGCAGATCTGGATTCTAGTCGCTGTTTAGTCTTGTATGGTTGTGAGCCCTCATGCTAGGCAGACTTTCTTAAGTACATTTTTCTCATCAACCCAATGGAAATAAAAACATCTTCCCTGATTATCTTACTCAACAACCATTCAACAGAAAAATTCTTGGATGCCTGCTTTGTGCCCCAGCACAGTGCTAAGTACCAGGAATCTAGAGATAAATGACACATTCCTTGCTCCTGCATTGCTTGTATGGTTGTAAAGGGGCATAAAGAAGATTATGCTTGCTAATCATATTTATTAACTTAAGAATCAGGCCACCATATGGGAATAAAACGTGTGCACTTTTCTTCAAAAACTGCAACTTATTACCTGAGCCAAAGGACTCACCAGTAATTTTAGGTTACCAGGAATGCCCGGAAAGTGGAGGCAGCCTGGCTGTATTTGCTCAGTTACATCAGTTTGCCATTGCTTGACCCGTTGTAAAGTTATATTATTATTGCTAATATTAATTATTCTTTGTACCGAGTTATGGTCTTATATTTTTAAAAATTCATTTCAACATAGGAGCTAAGAATTGATTAATACTATGGAAGAAAAAACAGGCTCAAGTAGTGCTGAAATGGGTTGCAAAGGAAGCTGTAAAATCTTTGACGGTTTTATGGAGAAGGAATTCTGTTTCAGATGATCATGCTCCATCATGTGGCAGGAATAGAGGAAAGCAATATAATGGGCTAGATTACTACTCTATATTTCTATAAATGTAGATGTGTGGAGAAATATAAATTATGGAGACCCCTTAACTGTTACAGTCAGCTGAATTTGAGCACAGCTTATTGGTTTCCCAAAGATCATTTTTGCCTCAAAATTGACAAAAGAGGGGCCTTTCTGTAATTCCCACGTGTCCTTCATTGCAACCGAAAGTGCAGGCTTGACCTAAGACTAGAACCCAAGTAATCGCTGGTTCCCCACCTCACTACAGTTGAAGGAAGTGTCCTAGATGGTGGTGTATGTAGTTCATTATCGTAAAAACTGAGCTCCAACTGGGATGGACTGTGCTGTAAAGGCCATATTATTCTATAAAGACCATATTATTTTCTCTGAAGACTTCTACATAAGGATATGCAAACTATTGGACTTAATCACAGAGCATAATTTTCTCTTCTTCTCTATTAAAGATAAAATTATTGTGAAAAATAACTTTAAGTAGAAAACTATGGGATGATTAAGAAAATAAAAAGATATGCAAGCATTTGGTGTTTATGTTGACACATTATTTATTTTACATATTAACTAATCATTCCATTTTCCCCAAACACTTTTTAAAATCACATACTGCTTTTGAAAATTATATATTTATAATTATGCTGTTGCATTCCATGTATAAATAAGTAGCCTCTGGGTGTAGAAAAATGGGTAATAATAGTAACATATAAGTACTTATGCTACTATATAATGCATTAAGGTATTTCTTTGAAAGAAAATAATAGATGTATCATAAAGCAATTGCAAATGTCCTTAAATCTTTATCATGCAATCATTATAAAAATGTAATGAAGTTTTTCCTATTAGTTTGTATGTGTAATCATTATAGGAAAACAAGTCAAACCAAGTTGTAAACCCATACACATACATGCCCACACACACACACACACACACACATATATATATATATATATATATATATATATATACACACACATGCACAATATAATACTTAATATATATTTGTTAAAATAAAAAGAGTAAGTTTGTTATTACCTGAACATAATTAGCTATAACTAAAATCATATTGGAACAATTTTCATCACAATGATTATAGCGTATATATATTATCTTTCTAACAGGTTACTTGTGTTTCAGTTAAAGCCCCTGATATTAGAAACCTGTTTATATTTTTAATAATGTCATTCCTTGACTTGGTAAATTAAGCATTATTTGAAAGAGTTTCCTAGTATTATAATAAACTACATAAGGTTCTCAATCCCAAATCCTCGTCCCAGTATTAGATTCCAACTGTATCATTTCCTCATTGTAGGTAAGGATCTTATCTTTGGTCTTGAGGTCTGGTTTTTACCCATAATCTAGCATAATGTGTGACATTTAATATGTGCTTAATACATGTTTTGTGAATGAAGTGAATGAGCAAGTGACTGAACAAGCAAAGGAACATTCCTAATTTGCCAACATTTCAAGATTCAAGTTTAGCACCAAACGTTACACAATCACTTGGGTTAATGAAGGGCATGAACCCTAATTTGTTAAATATAAATTAAAATATGGAAATAAGATATTGCCTATACATTGCTTATTGAATCTATATTTTGCTTATTTTCTAAAAGTGAATGTGAGTAATAAATACTAAGCAATTCATAATGTCTTCCTCAGATACCTAACTATAATGATTGCATGATAAAGATGTAAGGACATTCTAAAGTCTTCTAAGTATTGACCAAATTATTGATTTTCTTGTATTTCTGAACCTGAAAATGGTTCAGGCATAGGTTTAAAAAAACCTACAAAATAGAAGTACTGTTTTAAATACTGGAATTTCTTTCAAGTAATTAGACATTGTTTTTAAAGTATGTCTGTAATATATAGCAGGCAAAGTATATTTTGTATTTTCCTCTTCTCTCACTCATTTATTTACTCAATATCATACTCCTGCTTTAAAAAAAATCTTAAAGATGTAAAAGGAAAATAGTGGTCAATAAGTGACCCTATTTAGTTCTATGACTCAAATTTATAGAAAATACCCACCATTACATTCTGTGTGCTTCGAGATCATAGAGCAGGAACGTGTATGTTTCTCAATACTGTTGTGGTTTTTTGGCCTTTCCCATGACCCCGTGGCCTTTGTAGAACCCCGTACAGGACTGAAACTTATCTAGTGAACCCAAGTATACCCTGTTGGCTCAAAACCTATTGGACAACTTAATTCATTGATGAAATGTTAATAACAACAAAATTGTAACAAGAGTGTAAAGGAAGACCAAAATATTTATATAAAATATATTTTTGGCTTATTCATTTTATAACTGTTCAGAATCTTAATATTTTCTGCCACAGGCCCACCGATGTGACTCTACCACTGAAAGATCCCCACTATCCTGACCATGACCTTGGAATCATTTTGCTGTCAGTCACCCTTACACCTAAGGAAGGAGAACACAGGGATGTGGTAAGTCGCCCCACAGCCTGGTAGGGCTGTTTTCATGCTCTCAAACTTGCCCTCTGGTGTCCATTCAAACACTGTTTGAATGTTGTGAGCTTTCTCTGAGCCCAGAGGTAATAATAAAGAGAAGCAGGGTATGAAAATCTGGCCTGTCCTTTGTTTCTGTGAGTATCCCGGTATCACTAGTCCTTGTATATTGCATCTCTTGAACTCAAATCTCCTGTCCTATGCTCCAGATCAGAACCTCTTGTTGTAAATAAGAGACACATTTGCATCTTTTATTATCATTTGATTTACCCAGTTTCAGACATGTTGTGTTGCAAACAAATGATAGTGTTCATTCAGGGAATACATTTATTAATGAATTAAATATCTGGAGTTCTACCTGGAGGTATCCAGAACTTACCATTTTGACTATATTGTCAGGTGTGCCATAACAAAGAAAGTAAAGTGAAATGATAACAGAGTTTCTGCTTTCTGGTATTTGTTTGCTGAATGATAAGTGAGTACTTTTAATCTTTTTGATGGACTACCATATCAGTGCTACCCATTTCCCAGCACTGGCTGTCTCTACTTCTTTGCACATCATGCTGCTGTGAGAAGCTGACGAGGGATACAGAGGAGCCAATTACTATATCACTGCTGAAGGAATATTAAAAATGGCAGGTTTGACCCACATTGGTATGCTGGCCAGTGCACTTTCTGCCACAATTTACCAGAGATTATTTATTAGACTCCATGTGCTTTTGTGTACCGGGAGCTACTCTCACTAGGTCTGATTGTAACATATTTTAGGAGTAGACATAATCTCTTAGGCAAGTTCAAATGTTCTTTCAGCAATGTGTGTGTTGCTGTCTTAAAATAAGGCATGATTAGAGTAGGTATATATCATTTTCTGAAAGGTATTATTGATATTTTCTCTAAATTGTAGATGGAAATAATGAATTGCATCTTCAAATTAGTGTTTTAAAATCATTGAAAAATTCACCCTTCTCAATAAGTACTTTTCTCTGTCTTTTAAAGAATTAAACAGTAAATGCACATATTCATAGGTAATATTTAAGTATGATTTAAGTGTCTATAACTATTCAGTGAGAAAGAAATTTCTATTTTCAAGCAAGTATTAGCAAATAATTCCTACTGTGAGAACTTAGCATGATGGAAGAATATATGTATGTGTGCACAGGCCCATGTGTGCAGACAGAAGAATGGGTGAGGACGTGGTACTCAATAAGAACCTGCTATACACCAGGTCCTGTGCTAGACCCTAAGGATATAGGAGAACTTATATCCAGTGGAGAACTCGGGAATAAAAAAAAATCACTGAAGAACTCATATGCTGACAGCTGTTTAAAGTGTCATGAAAGAGAGGCACGTGTTGCTATAACAGCAAATATAGGAGAAATTGTTTCAGTCTGGGGGATGGGATTCTCTAAGGAGGTCAAATAGGAGCTGAGGTCTAAAGTATAAATAGGAGTTAGTAAGGCAAAAACGAGGAAAAGAGGCAATATTTTAACAGAATAAAACAGCCTGTGCAGAGGCCTTATGGCTAGAGGAACCATGCTGCATTTGAGGAATTTAAAAAGTATTGGAGCTTAGAGAAGGTGAAGGCAGAGCGTGTGGACGATCATGGTACACGATGACAATTGGAGTGGAAAGGAATGCTCAGCTTGTGTAGGGACCATTGGCCATGTTAAGGTTTGTGGTCTTTCCTCGGAGAGCAGTGGGAGCCATTGAAAAGTCTGTAACTGGGAAGTGGCATAATCATATTTGCTTTTTGAAAATAGCTCTGCATCTGCACGATAGGAAACCAATTAGAAGGCTATTGCAAAAATCCAGGTGGAAGATAATGGAAGTTTAGATCAGACCTGTCAGAGACAGAAATGGACGGAAATGATGAGATTTACCTACAGGAGGTAAAATCAACAAAACTTGGTGATAGAATGTTTTTGCTTTGGGATTCTTTGGTATTTTAATGAATAACAGCACTTCATACATGAAAATACCTAAGTGGCTGAGGTCTTGTATATCCCCGAACCATGTAGCTATTTGGGTGATTTGATGATGAAAGGTCTACTAAATTTTTATATTAAAGAGATATTTATTAAGTACTCTCACATCAAACTGAGGGCTGGAAGGATCAAATAAGTATCAAGTGATCTTATGATGGAACTGCTGTTTGTTCTAAATTCACAGAAATAGATGTCAGCACAGGCAAAGTAGTTCCCAGCTCTATTTCTTCTTCAACAATTCTTGCAAAAGTCCTTCAATCCTCATAGCTGCTCAGACTTATTTAGGCACAATGTCTTCCTAATTAGAAAAAATCATTTAAAACAATTTCAGTGCCTGGTTGTTGATCACCAGTGATTTCTCAAACATGAATAGGGAAGAAACAGGTGGGTTACATAAAACAGTTACACATCAAAAACCTGGCATTATTCATATTTTTTTCTTCCTTTCCTTTCTCTTTATCATATCTCTCCAGCACGAACAGTTCTTTTTGAAATCCTCATGTCATTTTCTTTACTTCAATCCCAGCTTTTTGGAAGAAATATTTTACTGCCAAGTATTTTTCATCCACTGCCTTACTTCATATCTTTCCCCTTCAAAGTCCTAAATAGCACTGGATTTATTCTGTGCCAACTGAAAAACTGTCTTTTTGCCTCCTGTATTAATGTGGATTCTCACCTGTCTTCTCTCTTCTTCGTCAGGGAAGCAAGTGGCTTAGTCAGGACTCAGTGCCTCAGAAAAGGCCTGACAGCTGCAGCCTATACCAGGCTTGCCTCTGGCTGGTGAACCATCCTGACCTTGGCCACACCTGAGGAGCAGAGAGGAGGGTGACAGGTGTGGCTATATTGGCTCCTCCTCATGGGTGTGATCATGTGATTAGTAGCTGGGAACATGAGTTGGCTATAGAGAAGTGGGTCAAGAGGTGGGGAGGAAGGTTCAAATGTTCCTCATAGGAAATTCTATTGAATTTCTCAATATCCTGGTGAGTCTGATGTCCTAGATTTGGATCTGGGTTCCTAAGCATATATTTTACTCAACATTTCTAACAAGTACATAATAATTTGCTTTTTTCTCCTTTTCTTTGGTCCATGTAGCAGTTCTTTGGCTATTTTAGTAATATTTCTAAATTGTTAAGTAACACTAGCTATGAGATTTTAAAACTATGAACAAGTACCATTTTTTCTATTTTGAAAAACAAAACAAAACAAAAACCCTCTTACTGATTATCTACTAAGCATTGTGCTAGGTTCTACCTTCCTCTTTTTTTTTCCTAAGTGTTCAGTAACCTGTGGTTACTTCTCTGGTTAAACAGAAACTCCTGATGAGGAACTTTAAGGTTCTTCAATCACCAACAATGTTCCCTCACTTGTAACTTCTGTTCCAGCCATGCAAACTCTTGCAAAACTCGCCTTCTGTAAGTCCAAGCTTTCTTCAATGTCACTTATACTTCTCCAAATGTACCTATACTATACTTCTGCTCACCTCCATCCTATATTCTATCAGTCCGTTTTTTTTTTAAAAAAAACATACATGTAAATTATTGCTTCTGATTTCCTTATGATAACATCTCTCAAAACCTAGCCTCGCTTTCTGTACCTAATGATTGTTCAATGGGTTGTAGCTGAATATCTATGAGGATTTGAAGGAATGGATGCTTCAAAGGTGCAGGAAAATATACTATGTTTTTTTTTCTTACTTCAATATTCAAATCCCTGAGGTTGTCACAAACAATATTAAATAATGATTTAAGTTTCCTTTTGAGTTCTTAAAATTAGTATGTTAATGATAATGTGCTTTAAATCAGTTTATATTGCTTGTCTCAAGATTTCTAAGGATGACAATGAATTAGAAGCAGGTCACTATATATTTTTTTCATTTTGTAACATGTTTGCATTAGCTAAATGCATTTCTCTGGAATACATTTGAATTTTCTTGGTTAAATCCAGCCAGAAATCCAATATGTCTTCAAATTAAATTTTTATATTCCTGAATACATAACATATTGCTACAGTAAAAATGACATGCTGAACTTTCACCCATTATCAAGGAACAAATCTTGTTTAGAGAAACCCTATCTCAAAATGCAGCAAACCAGGAATCAGTTAGTAATGATCACAATTCCATTTAATATTTAGAATGATATATGGGGATGAAATAGAAGGTGATTTTTTTTTTATTGACTCTCACACAGAAAAATTAGAAGAATTCTGTTCTCTTTGTTAACTCAGAAATTATTTAAGCTTTTGGGACTTAAGACTTTATTTTAAAAGCCACATGTTTATTCTTATGCCTGTGTTTACTAAAGTTAACTTATGTGTATTAAAAATGGAAAATGAAATATGAGTTTCAAGAGCCATTAAGAAATAAATGCTAACAATCAAATAGCATATAGAGCACTGATGTTAAGAAAATGCTGTCAAAAGTAGGAAAAAATGAGTAACTGGAAACAGAGTATTTAGCATCCGAAAGTGCTAAGATTTCTAAATCAGTTATCTTACGCATTTTTTATACACTGTCAATAAATGTCATGAATAATGCAGTTGGGTGACTTCTCCTTGTGTGGACTGCCAGTTCTGGAAATCAGTAAAACTAAAGAATGCATTGAAAAACCTATCAGCCTGCTGAATCCCCTAAGGCCTCTAAAATATGCAATGTCCAATCACAGCAATTTAAGAAATACAGTATAACAGCCAAAGTATTTCATAGTTGCTTATATTAAAATCTTCTTCATTGAGTTAATGAGTCTTTTTTAAAATCCCAGATGTATGTATACATATATGTGCGTGTGTGTGTATATATATATATATATATCAGTTTCCAGCATTTTGTGTAGGAGAACCCAAAATTTTCATGGGGGCATGCTGATGAGTTGCATGATACAACTGTCATTTCTGTTTGAATGCACGTCTTGTTTTTGAGCTCTTAAAAGTGTGTCGTGAATACATATGTGTCCTGTGTATGGTATTTTGGTCTGATGGTGTGTTTGAGTTCTTTCTGGCTCTTTTTCTAGCAGAGTTCAATCCACAACTTTCTTCATTGGAGAATTTGTGAAATAAAAGTGAGTTAATTTGTGTTATACACTCTCTTAGATAACCTAGATGTAAAAATTGCTTGGCTAAAGCAAAAAAAAAGAAGAAGAAGAAAGAAAGAAAATTCTAAGAAACATATGAATTGACCCTAATTGGCTTTTAATAAATTAAAAAATTTTCCATTTTGGTTTATTTTTTATTTTTTCCTGAATTATTTCATAGCTAACATTTGAAAAAACATCCACCTATAAAAATGTGATACATATATTTTATGATATGTGTATAAAATAATATCTACTCATTCTGTAATTTCTTTCTATAAAGCCATGTAATTGCCTAAAAAACCACAACAAAATATACAAGTACAAAGTGGATTGAGATTGTGGAATCTTTAAAAAAAAGTAATCAGTTTTGCAGTTCTATCACAGGCCATATTTTTATGCTACTTATTTATTTTATTGGCTTCAAAGAAAGTTGAGCTGCTAATAAATTTTTTTGATTATACTCTAATGATATTAGGTAATGACACTTTCAAAAACAAATTCATATGTTTCTTAGCTGAAGATCATATAGCAAAAAACAAAATCTTCTTTTTCTATAATTTGCTTCATCTCCTATCTTTAACATTCCCCAAACAATCTTTCTTTTCTAACATGTTTCAAAAATAGCAAAGGAAGCATAATAGTATGTCTGTTAAATTCACTTTTTAAAAAAATTTTTCTACTGTTTTCAGTTTAATTGAATATACCTTAACCCAACCATCTAAAGTAAAAAGAAGACTTGCAAGAGGGATACGCAAAGTTATTATTTAGTTATTTGTTTTGGTTAAAGAAGCAGAAATATTGTTATAAGATCTAGGACCATTCTGAGAGTCACTGGATCTAATAAAAAACTCAAGATACTCAATCAAGAAAATAATGAATTGGTTCCCATAAATGCCAGATCTTTCATATTTACACTTAGGAAAGTTACTACTGACTTTTTGTTTGTATCAGTGTCTCAATCTGAAGAATAATACCATGCCGCCTGTTTGTAAAGCCAATTTTGAGAGGCAGGAAAAATACCAACCCTATAGTTCGTTTTACGTTTTAATAGTATGCGGTAGTTCTGAGTCAGGAGATGTGACTTTGCCAGTAGTAGTGAATCCGTATACAATAGAGTAGCATTACCCTGAAATTCAACTCTCTCTCATGTTCTTAGCTTCTTTTCTTTTTTTTTTATAGTACAACATTTCTTACAGAATGGAATTTTATAAGATTCTTAGGTACTAGATGATGATGACAAATGGCCATGAGTTAAGAGATTTTACTTTTCAATTTACTTATCTTAATTGTTCTGTTTATTTGACTCAAAACATTGTCTCTAAGAATTACCATTCTTTGTTCCTTGAAACTCTGCTGTCTGTGAAAATTGAACATTTATTTTCTGACTCCTAATGGGACTGTTTTTATGAATATGTCATACTACAAAAATGTTTGGTTTCCAATTACCTTTTAGTGATGATGGAAAGTGGTAGTGGTGATGATGATGATAGTTGCAATAACTTATTTTACATCAACAACAAACATTTACCACATGTCCATTACATGCGCATCTCCACAACCCAGTGGTGGGTTTTGTTACTTTAAAATGAATTGGACATTAGTACTTAAAAAAAATTTAAAATAGTTTTATAATAGTACTTAATAGCAATGCTTTGCAGTTTCCTGGCTCCATTTGGGGGGGTTGGAAATGGGAAATTATAACCTTAGGAAATCTATTATTCTTCCCTATTTTCATCAATATTTAACTCAGCAAGTATATAGAGAAAGTATAACCCATAAAACCACTATTTATAGAAAGTAGGGATGTATACTTATCTTTGACAATTTTATGCTTTTCTCACTTTCTACTCTAGAAACGCAACATAATTTCCATATCTTGGTTTAGGCCAAAGGTTCCCTTTTTATATAATTAAAAACTTTTCTTTCTTGTATTTTTGTAATTTATGAATGGTTTCTGAAATGGTTTTACTTTATAGTGAATCCTGTTGAAAGAGATATAGTTCTTAAAGGTATCAGTACATGTCCTTGCTACACAAATATGGCAAACATTCCTATAAGTTATATTCTTTGCTCCAAATATTCCCTATTCTCCACTTCATCTGCCTTAAGGATAATAAAAAGCTAAGAGAGGGTATAGAGGTTAATTAGAAAGTTAATACCTCAGTGTTTATTGAAAATTTTTTAAAACTGAAGAGCAAATAAAATATTCTTTGGATTTTTATGACTTACTTTATACAAAAGACCAATGATCTTGGGCACTCATCACAAACCACCATAACCTTAATTAAAACTTGTATCCATAAATACATTTTACTAAGTAAGACACACACACACACAAACTCGTCTTTAGGTATGGGTTATGACTAAGCATTTAGATCTACCAATAGCCATCACAATGTGCAGCATTTTTCTCCATTGAAAGCACTTACAGATCCTGATGTAAAAGATTAAGCAGAGGCAATTCTAAGATGCCATCAAAGCAACAGATCTGAACGTGTTTGAAGAGAAAATTATTATAGACCTAGTAAAGTCACGGTGTATCCTCAACCTGCACCACCAAAAGGAACAACCGCCAATCATGAGACTTGGTGTGTTTTTTCCCCAGTCAACAATTAAGATACTTAAAATGTTCCATTCTATTTAAAATGTACTGTCCCTTTAATTTTTGTAAAAAATATATATAAGTAAATAATAAAACAAATGAACTCTCACCAGAAAGACTGCTTGAATGTTAAAGGTGCTTCTTCTAGCTGTGAGTATGTGAAAAACAATTTTTTTGTCTTTTATAGTTTGTTGCTGGAAACTGTTTGCTGTTTAAATGTTAAGCTTCCTCTTGAAACCAATTGGCTACCCTATTCTGTACCTGAGTGATAACATATTTAAAATGCTTTATTTCATTTGCAGACAATGCTAATGAGGAAGAGTTGGAAAAGATCAAGTAAGGTAATGCTTAGCATGTGATCTTTCAGCTTTTCTTGTTGAGAACTATCAGTCAAGCTGCTTTCCCAAATCTCTCTCATACATCTTCAAATTATACACAGGATTTCATCAATTATTTATTTTTTTCATAAACTTTCAGCAAACCATGTGTTGCTTTTTAAGTAAATAGAAATCACACTGATCAATTGCACCCAACTCATCCTCTTGCTAATCTCTGGTCACTTCTCAGCACCATTCTCACCATCTGGTTTCTGTTATCTGTACCACAGGGTCTAGAAAATGTCTGCTCTAGATCAGGAATGAAATGATGAGGCCAGGGTAGGAACAACTTCAGAGAGAAGGAAAACCATGGAACTTACTGTTTCTGTTCACCGGAAAGTCAGCCTAAGGTTTTCTAAACCCAAAAAACCCTGAATTGCTACATCGTTGGAGTGTATAATGAGAACAACTTTCCATCGCTGCCTCTTCTCACTTCAAGAAATAAACACTCTTGGAAGTGAGAGGAGTTTATGGCTCCTATAACTTACTAAGCCCTGGCCCTTATAACTTGTAAAAAATATAAGATGTAAACTAAGCTTCTATTTTGTTCAGTGGTGGTATCACTCTTGGACACAAATAAGCACCGAAATGAAATGGACTTTTATGTGAATCCTCCTTAAAAGAAATCAAAGAGATTGTATTTGTAAAAATCTTGTTTGCTCAAATTTCTATTTAAGAAGTCAGTACTCATTTTTACTAGTGACTAATTTTTTTAGACCCTGGAACATGACAATCTTTTTTCTTCCATTCTGACTGAATCATGCTATTAAATTTTTCTTTGATTTTGCCATTTTTATTATTGTGAATGAAGAAACACATATCAAAATGTCTTCGCACTTATGGTAATGTCTTAACTTGCTTCAATAAATATTTCTTCCTATACATTTTCTTCCTAATTTTTCTAGAGTTAATAACCAAAAGATAATGTGGTTCACAAAAAAATTTTAAAATGCAAAACATTTTAAGGAAAGTTGCTGAACATTTATGACTTAGTGTTCACTGTGTTTATATACTGACCAAAATAAAGTTTCAAGAAGTCTTAAGGAAGTGTTTGAACTGTTCATATTTGTATTACAATTTTTTCATTGTATTTCAAAATTAGTGTTGTATTAAAAGTATATATCTTTTAAAAATTCATGCATTTGGCTTTCTTCATGCATTTTCTATTTATGATATAATATCTGTATAAAAATTTGTAATCCATTAATATGTAGCAATATTATCTCTTCCAGATGTAATTAAGATATAATGTTAGAGCAGGATATTATGTAGTATTAAGTATCAATTGGTAAGAATGATCCATTTTATTGTAGTATAAAAATAATAAATATAAAGTCTTTAAATAATTTATTTAATCTATATTTAATTTTAATGATAAATTAAGTAAACATAAATCTACTTTTCCTTTGCTCTACAAAAATAAAAGTAATAATAAATGTCTAATCTCCACTATTTTTATATCTAAAAATTTTTGAGTTTTTATTTATTATTAATAATCCATTTGTACATTCAAACTGGTACTTTATTTTAGCTTGCCATTAAAGATACAGAATTCCTTGTGTCTAACTCTGCACTCATTGGGGTATGTAGTGGATTATTTTTAGTGTATATTATAACATGGATTTTGGGTTTTTAGCCTAAGGGATTTCCAACTTTATAAAATTTAGTGGGGATATAGAATTCTGAATAAAAGAAAATCAGTTCACTCACTTGTGTTTCCTATGAGAACATACTTAACCCTTGATAATTCATTCAAATTGTCACTGTCCCTTAAAACATTTTCCATATTTGTTCATATTAGTGTTATAAGAGCAGAGAGAGAGAGACCACATTCACATAACTATTATTATACTATGTTGTTATAAGTGCTGTATTTTATTATTACTTATTATTGTTAATCTCTTACTTGCCTAATTTATGAATTAATTTTTATGTGGAGGAAAATAGCATAGTATATATAGGGTTTGGTACTATCTGTGGTTTCTAGCATCACCTGGGGGTCTTGGAATTTAACCTCCACAGTTAAGGGGGCACGACCATAAATTGTGCTTCCTGAGAAACTAAGAGATAAGTAACTATACTGCATAGTTTTACATTACTGTTTATTATGTTACTGTTTTGTGCAAATGAATCTCTTTTCTAATTATTTCAATCTTCTCTAAAGATCCTTGTGTAAGGATTTTTTCCTCTTATTTTTGGAAAGAGGATACACATTTTTGGCATTACATTCAAATACAGGTATCTTATTTTTTATACAACTATGCTCAAAATCAAAGGTGACTTTTTCATACAAGTAGGTCATTTTATTCTTTGGAATCTTGATTTATGGAATGAGGTCTTTCACTTTTTTACATCAGGGCTGTGATATGCATCCTATCTTTGAGCACCAAAGGTGAATATAAATCTGAGAATTACAAAATTTCTGACAAAGACTTATATATCATCAGATAATGTCATTATTTATTCTCTCCACTAAGGAGCTCTTTTCATTTCATTGTATTTTCTTCAGAAGTAACCTTGGAGAGGGGAAAAGCTAAATTGACATTGTTTGTAATATGCGCATCTCCCTTACACAAGCGAATCAGCTTATGGACTATCTCATTACTTATATATCCGCTTGTCATTTTCTTCGTCTTACCAATAATTGACTCTTTCCATGGAAATCTTATTATTTGTGGCACTCATATAACATGGGGTTGTGTTTGCTGTTGGAAATAAGAGATGAATAGCCAACTTGATGGCAAGGAAATTGTAATTGCTGTTCAGGACTGACATGTATTATTTGGATAAAATGTGTTACCACCTAATAATGAGTAGAAAAAGAAGTATACCTAGATTTACCTCTATATAAAATACATGCTATATTTGAATGGTATGTTAACTAGTAAATAATTATGAATTCCATAACATCTCCTCTCCTAGGGATGGTAACATCCTTTAAAACACTTATTCTGGTTTTCTATTAGCATAATTTCCAGCGTGTATATTTTTAATTCTCCCCAGATTCAGTTATTATAGAAAAACGTTATTTTAAGAAGAAAGGGATCAATGTCTCCCTAAATGTAGGCAACTGGATAATTATCCTGGTCAGAGAGTTTTACTTACATGACAAATGCATTTGGCAGAGAATGGTAACACTTTGAGTTAGTACAAAATTTTATTCTTTAAAAGAAGCTTATCATTGATAATTTATTCTGAGGTTAAATTATTCAACAAAAAGGTTTCATGAGCTCAGAAGAGAAGATGCATATGTATTTTGTGAATAAATTTTATGGGGTCAAATAAATGGAAAAAATTATGAAATAATTGCCTCTATCATAGAGGGTAAGCAGGAATTATTTTGTACTCTATTGTGTGTGTGTGTATTGTGTATATTAGTATGTGTGTGTGTTCATGTAGAAGAATGAGTTTATCAGTGGATGTGATAATAATAAACTTATGTGCTTTCAACAAATCACTTTAATTGTATGAGAAATAACCATTGTGATAATATATACACGCGTTGCAATTCATATTCTCAACAAAAGCAGTTTAGAATTGTTTTAAGAAGAGTTCATCCTTTGAATAATATAATATAGACTATGTGATGATGTCTCATTAGCATATCTCCTGTTATTTAATGGCTTATTTTTCAAGTAATATATCTTTTTATAAAGATTTTATTATAATCACTTAGCATAATTTTAATGAACTATAAAACACTTTATTCACTGGTTGAATAAAGCAATTTTTAATAAGACTTTGGCAAGAATATTGTTAATTTAAACTAGAGAATACTTTCAACTCTGTAATTCTGCAGGGCATAGTTAAACCTGACACCTTGGATGACACATTAAAAATGCATCAGTGAAAACTTCTAAGTGCTTTAATTTAAGAAATGGTAGAGAAACAAATGAACACATTTTTAAGTATCTCACACAGTCAGCCATAGTAAAAAAAAAAATAAGTCATTGTTTAACAATTATCAGGCCCTTTCTACAAAATCCTCATCTACTGATAATAAATAGGTAATATTTTAAACACTGCAAAAAATAGAAACTTCCTTGTTCGTTGATTCTCTCAACTGTGAGTGACGAAATTGGCTTTCCTTTGGTGCCTCATTTCAAAGTATTATGTTTATGTATATGAAAAAATGAGATGCTTATATGTTTTTGAAGGAAGTATGAAATTCTTTTTAAAATCCTTATTTTGTCACTATTTATGCTCCTAAATTTTTGTTATTTAAAAATACTATAAAGTCAATCTCATAATGAAGGCTTCTGAGATTCAGATTCTGAAATGCAGCAATGAACAAAGGGCAAATAGCATGAACATTTCTAATATAAAAGACTGTATTTTTACCTCAATTAATTAAACTCCTAAAACTTAAAAAATTCTGATCAGCCCTGGCCGGTTTGGCTCAGTGGATAGAGCATCGGCCTGAGAACTCAAGGGTCCCAGGTTCGATTCTGGTCAAGGGCATGTACCATAGTCGTGGGCACATCCCCAGTGGGCAGTGTGCAGGAGGCAGCTGGTCGATGTTTCTCTCTCATCGATGTTTCTGACTCTCTATCCTTCTCCCTTCCTCTCTGTAAAAAATCAATAAAATATATTTTAAAAAAATTCTGATCATTAAACCCCCCAATTCATCAATCTCATTTTGCTCTTTTTATACCAGTCACATAATTAGGTCATTATCCTCTGTGTCAATTAGAGGAAGAATGGAAAGTATGGAGTTGGTGAAGTTTCAATGTTAGTCACCTTAGAGCACCTGACACTTAAATGAATTTACAGTAATTATAGATGCTAAGCGGTTGTCTTATTTGTTTCAAATATCTTGAATCTAGAGCCAAGACTTTCACATCCATTTAAGGCACCTTAACACATTTTACATTAAGATAAAAGTTACTGTTAGTTTCACAGCCTTTGTTATTGATTCTGGGGAAAGTATTTGTGTAAGGAGACTTTAAGCAATAATTTCTTGAATGTGATACTTGAAAAATTTTCTACATGTTGCTAACTATGCTGCTTCATTTTAAAAGAACTGGGGATCAAAGTAAGAAAAGAATTGGCAATACAAAAGAAAACATGCATCTTTTCTAGAAATCAGAATAAGGTTTTTGAGTTAAACAATAGTATAGTATAAAAAAAGACAGCAGCCATTTCACCTAAGGTTTATGCCCCAATGTCCAAATATAAGTATATTCCTTAAGGATTTTTTTCAGAAATTGATGTGACAATGTGCTAAGTGTGACAAATGAGAACCATACTTACAAATGTAAATGAATTATAACTCTGTAGTGATAGTAAAACAGTCTTAAACTCAAGATTTTTTCCCTATGACTTCTGACATTAATCATGCTACCTGACCAAACCTTATGCAAGTAGTTTCAAGAAATAGATTTCATATAAAAAGCACAGGTAGATTGTATGGGTGATCTCTGATTTAATTCTACTTTTAAACTTATATTATTTAAATTGATGCACATCCTAAAGTAGTCTAGTTCATTATTATTTTCTGACTAAAGGCCCAATGCACGAATTTGTGCATCAGTGGGGTCCCTTGGCCTGGCCTGTGGGATCGGGCCTAAACCAGCTCTCTGACATCCCCCAAGGGGTCCCGGATTGCTAGAGGGTGCAGGCCAGGCTGAGGGACCCCACCAGTGCATGATCAGGGCTGGGGAGGGACCACGGGAGGGCTCCAGGGCATGTCTGGCCTGTCTCACTCAGTCCTGATCAAGCTAACCTACTGGTTGGAGTGTCTGCCCGCTGGTGGTCAGTGCACATCATAGCAACTGATTGACTGGTTGACTGTCTGACCCTTGGTGGTCAGTGCATGTCATAGCAAGTGGTGGAGCAGGCTTAGCATGTCATTAGCATATTATGCTTTGATTGGTTGAACGGCTGACTAGATGACCGGACACTTAGCATATTAGGCTTTTATTATATGAGATATATAAGTTTTGGTATTACATTTGGAAGGAATATATATCCTCACCCCAATGAAACTCCAAATGATTAATAGTCAACAAATATTTATTGAGCATCTACTATGCATGAGGCATCATTTGAGGGGTTGGACCAGTACAATCTTAGTTGCTAACACAAAATCATGGGATAATCAAATAAGTTACAAAACTACTTCCTCTTCAAAGGTTGATACTTTCCCATAACTATCACAATTTCCCTTAATTTTACTGTAACCAACATCTAGAAACAGCATTAAAGTTTAAAGGGTACATATAATTTAAATTTTCTGTTTAAAAGTAAGTAACTATGTTTTTTTATTTTCTAGAGTTGAATTGGTTTCACATTATAAAATCTCAGGATTAAGTAATAAAATACCCAATATGAATGCACTGCTTTGTTTACAACCCAATAACCACCTTTCTCAGCATTAATTTCTTTTTAAATTTATTTTTGGAAAGCTCAAGTTAACTAGGTCATTTATATTATATATACATACATAATAAAAATAGGAAGATTTAGTAAAAAATTAAACCAAATTTGATTAGGTGTGTGCTTATAAGTAAGATTTCTGCTATTATTCTTTAAAAACACTCTGAAGGTCTATAGTGTTGTTTTGTTAACAGGAACAGATATTATCTGGCTTATTTCAAATTCTTAAAATATATTTAAACAGTTCTTTTTAAGATAAAATGTTAGACTTTCAGGTACATTAATCAACACTTGAGAATTAAGAGGTAAGTAGACCTTTTTAAAAAATTACAGAAATAATCCTCTCTATACTTAACTACTATTGATATCACACATGAATAAGAAAAGCTTTAATTACTTCAAGGAAAGAAAATTTAGTTTGTAAAGACCCAAGGTGTACTTAGAATATATAATTTTGGGTTTTTTTAATTGTCTTTTATTTTTAATTTTGGAGCTTTTATTTGTTTTGATTTTGTTGGGCTAATAAAGTATTCTCAAAAGCACCTCAAAATTTAGCTAAATATTTGTTTATTTTTAGGATCTCTCAAACAATGAAGTGGTTGGATCTTATTTCTCTGTGAAGTCTTTCTTTTGGAGGGTAATGTCTAAATCTTTTTATTACAAATCTTGATTTTTGGTTCTAAATAGTAATTTTAAAAGTTAAATATGAACTAAGAAATTTACTTTTTAAAATAGGCTCTCAAATGTATTCATTTGCCTTCTTTATTAACTTTGATTTTAAGTCATTCATATGACTGATTTATTTCATTCCTAAAATCCAAGAACTTCATATACTTAATATATTGCTTGAAGTCACTTCCTTGTGGGACCAAATTTATCTCAAATTCTTAACAGCTTAGAGGCCCCCAGACCTTGCAGGAACATGATGGTGCGGTCTAAAGGGTCCATTGAGGGTCTTAACCCTTCTTTTAAAATCTGCTTCATCTGTTTGAGAAAATTTTCTTCTATTACAGTAATTTTATACTATATAGATACTAGATACTTGGTGTTCTTTCTTTGAAAAATCTTATAAATTAGAAAACAGCAACACTGCTTTTGATTTAAATAAAAAAAAATAAAAATTCTACGGAGAATTTGTTTTAAATGCCATTGCAATTTAACATTATTTACTCTTTCATGACTTAAACATAATGAACTCTCATCCTTTATTTCCTCTACTATAATTTTGCATTGTGCACAGTATGATTTATTACTAATGCACTTATGATTTTGCTTGCAAGAGTTTTTCTCTTTGAAAATTCACGCTTGATACATGACTCTCTTAGCAATTGATATTGCAATGAAAATGCTACACTGGTAGGTCTTTGCCATCTTCTTTTTTTGGCTCTTTCATTGCTCATGACTGAGAACTACCTTTCTCTTTTAGAGTATTAAGATTTGTTGTAGTGTCTCTTAAAATGACTGGCAGGTACTAGATTAAGTCATGCACTGACTTGACCAGTGAGCAAGAATAAGCCACATCTATTTATTATCTGTACCTTCCACACACAGTTTTCTTTAGAACCTTTTATTGTTGTGAGCTTATTTTAATTATTACAGCCTCTTCATTTCCTTTCAGTTTACTGCTGGCTGCCTTCATTGATATAATTCTGTATCTTTGCTAAAATAATAATAATTCCTTTTATATGTCCATGAACAGAGTAACTGCTTTTGAATTGTCCCATTATCCTAAATAGAAAATGGATTTTTTCAAACGTTTGTCTTTGTTTTCTTAAGACCCACAAATATGGTGAATTCATATGGCATACTCCTTTGCCAAGAGAGCAGAATTCAGGGGTGTTCTGCATTGAGTTTGTTCTTTATGCATCAAATGTGCAGACTGATTATTATGAATGAAGTCTTGTCATCAGGACCAACTCCATAACTGATAGTTTTTAAGGATTTCCCTTTCAACATCTTCTTTCCATTTTGCTACTTCCAAATGAGTCTTCCAGTTATCAGTACTTCCCATTTGGTTGCATTCATCCTTAAGTATTCTTTATTAACCTTTCTCAATCCTTGAACTATCTTATTTTAGAATAAGAAATATGCATATTTAGAAGGTAACTTTTTTTTGTATTTTAGGTATAGTGATCTAATGTCCTTTTTTTTTCTGAAAATAAGTGACAAATTGAATCATAAAGGCTGAACTGTTAGGAGTCATTTATTTTGTCAATGAGGAAACTAAGGCCCAGAGAAGTGAGTCCATTGCCCTGAAGTCCCTAGATGATATGATCGGGACCAATGTTTTTCTCTCTGAATGTCATAGAAATAAATGTTTTGGTGAAGATTTAAAGCAGCAGAGTTCCTTTGGGGGTCAATGGTGAATAGATATATGATGTATAAATTGAGTTGCCTCTTGGTTTGTCTTTATTGACACCCTTTCAAATTCTTCTTGCATTATATGAACCTTCTCCATGCTTCTTAGGCCCCCAGTGGATGGATGTGTTTGAGGGCTATGATGTAGCTAATGTTTGAGGTCCCATTTTACCAAATCAGTGACCAAGTCTCTGTAAGTCAAACCTAGAATTTATTGTTTCACACCATATTATTGGTGAAAACTGATTGATTACTTTTGCAAATCAACAACATTATAACATATATGATGATTTTTATTAGTGTATATTTGGGGCAAATATAATAATAGATTTAGAACTTTTGTTTGGCCACAATTAAGTTTAGGGAGGGTAGTTAAAACATCTGAAGTAAACATAAATACCTTCCTGACACTGTAAATTGTATCAAGAAGCAATAGAAATCGGAAAGAAACTTTAAGGATAAAAACCAGGAGAATTTCTCTAAGGATTATAGTGTCAGTGAATCATCTTCTAAGAATAAAAGGGATTGAAGCTCTATTATTAGATGAGATACTTCAAACTAGGCTGCACAAAGCACTGGGAGGGATTTCTGTAAAGGCAATCCTGCTTTGAGAGGGTGGATGGCTGTAGAGCAAATCTACTTGTTGAACTTCATCATCCAGGTGCAATTCACAGGAATAAACTCAGCAGGAAAAGGAAACGATAGAACATGCCTGTGCCTTGGTATTGAGCTAATAATTGCTCCACACTCCAGGCTTTGCAGCACAAAACAGTCATTCTAGGCTGTCATTATCTTTTCTTTGTAGTGTCTCAGCGAATCATTTAATTAAATAAAAGCATGTGCACCCTCTGTGCTAAAAATAGAGGAAAGGACTGACTCCACACACAGCTACTGTAAAGGCACAAGCAACGTCTTTCATTCCAGATTCACAGTGTCTGGGTCTCGTTTGGAAGGATTAGGTTGTGTGCAGGTAATAAAATCCAGAATAACAAAAGCCAAAGATTATTACCACATTTCTGGAGATTAGTATAGCTGAGTGTTCCTATAGCCACATGTTAAGTCTAAATAGATTTTTTTGTTTTGATCTGTTTTTTAATCAGAATCTAGAATAATAGGATATCTCCTGATACTAGTGATTCAGTTTTTCAACAAATGTAATTAATAAACTTTATTAACTAGAATTGGAATATATGTGTTCTCAATTTATATGCAAGATTCTACAACTTCACCACCTTATTAATAGACATTGGGCTATAATTTCTTATGGAATACAGTTAATACTCAAATGCTTTACTAAACATTATATGCTACAGTTATTACCACCTGCTGGCTTCTACTTCTTCTAAGTCCCTGATTAGCCTTTCTCAGTAATTAATACCCAAGAATGTATTTCCTTTAAATGTAAGTCAAAATATTTCAACAGATCCTGTACAAATTAGTTTCTTTCTTTTGTATCATGAACTTAGGCTCTGTCTAAAAAATAAGATATCATGGGAAAAAAGAATCAATTAAGTATCAGCAATCACAGATTTAAATTTCAGCTTTGCCAATCTGTAGTCATTTGGCTTTGAGTCGGGTATCTTTTCTGTGCCTCAGTGTTTCGTTTTTTTTTACCTTAAAAATACTTGTCATGGAAAACACTGGAGCATGAAAACTCCAGCACATAATAGCTGCTCAGTACAAGTTTATTTCTTTCTGTGTGATCTAATCTATCTTTCAGACTGGCCTAATCTAACCCTTTCTTTTGATGTTGTTAAACCTGATAGCTCTCATCTCATCATACTGTTGTTTGGAAACGTCTAGCCGTTCTAGAAGTCATTTAATACAAACTTTTAACTCGCTATTTCTTGATGTTCAGCTGTATCTTAATCCATCTCTTGCTGCTCTTGGTTATAACAGTGAAGGGACATTTGGGTTGTTCTTTTAGTAACAAAGGCAAGTGTTATGTGGAGCAACATTTCTATTACTTTAGAGATATCTCTTTAATCATTACAAAATATTAGCATGTGGGAACAGTTAACATTGTCATAGCTTTTTTCTGTTCATGTAACAATTGTTCTTCTAGAGCTTTATCACTTTATTAAAAATATATACACACATATATAAGTGTATATGTGTGTTACAAGTGTATAAGTATATATGTGTGTGTATATATTACATATATTATGTTTTTTCCCCATCATCATTTATCCTCATTCCTCCTCCACCTTATCACCTTTTTGACATTGGAAACAAAAGATATTATTGGAAACAGTCTCCAAAACTTTTTGAAGTGGCAGACTTGGGAAAATGATTCTTTCTATGATTTATTTTGCTGTTTCTTTTTCTGCTACACCTATTAACGAACGCCAGAAACCACCCAAGCGGGATGCATCACCATATAATCTCTGCCCTTTATGTTCTTGACCACTGCAGCATTTTGCTACTAAAGAAAATAGTGGCTGGAAACTATATCATTGCATTGGCATTTATCTTCATTTTGCCAGAAGACATTTTCTGACAGTGATTTAAGAAGCAAATAAATATTTTTTTTCAAATAATGTTTTTTGAAGAGTAATGCTAACCTCTGACTAAGGCGAGGTGTTGCTAGGGGCACCAAGCTTTCCCGTACAGCTCTGACCGTTCATTTCCATCCAGACGTGTGGCAGGCCTGCGTTCCCTGTCCTGGGCTTCTGCAGAGCAGAGCTTCAGAGTGCTTACTACCAAAACGCACAAGTAAGTTCCACCATTCCATTTATTTATTTATCTTCTGAGTTTGCATGAGCTGTGAATTCTCATGCCCAGCTTACTATTCTGAAAACCCACTCCCTATCCTCACCTCTTCTATGCATATCATTAGGAATTGAAATCGTGTATTTCTTTTTAAGGAATAATATACATAAACTAATATTCTCCTTAAAATGCTAACTCACTAAATTCTAAAATCCTACTAAAGGTAAATATCATTGACTCAGACTTTGAAATGTATTTTGTTGCCTGGTATCCTGATATCCTTTATGAAGTCTGAACTGGGATGAATATTCCCTTTGGGAGAGGATGTCTCACTTCTGTGTGTGGGAGTCACATGGGTCACATGTTGGAAATATACATGTGACTCTGCTCCACAGAAACTGATTCTCATCCAGGAGGATCAGACCCTCTGATTTCTACAAATTGCCCACTAAAACTTGGGGACCACTGCTTTCTACCTTTTGCAGAGCTGGTTCTTTGCTTTGAAGCTAGGTTGGTCTTCCATTTTATTTTTTCTCCTCTTTTCTTTCCCTCCTCAAATAGAATTCTATTTCAACAAGGGCATAGTTGAAAACAGTATCTTAAGTAACTACTAGTAAGTACCAGCTGTAATATGTTAATTTTATTAAGGGACATGTATTTGTTTAACGCTCCTTGCCCTTTAGCTGCTCAAAAAGTAATTTTCAGTTGACTGGTCAATATTTCAATTAATATGTATTATATTGATGCATTTTATGAGGGAAAAAACATTAACAAAGGAAGGAAATAATAAACAAACTTCACCTAGTTTTTCAGTAGGTCCCTGCTTCTCTCTGTAAACCCTCCACATGTCTAGATCAATATGCTTTCCTAACCAGTAAATTTAGAAGCAGGACTAAAGAAGGTCTTTAATTAGCATGCATCATATCCATGCCAGTGAGTGGATAATTTTATAATCATAGTAATTAATTATAGTTATGAGAACACAGGAGAAGGCCAGTGTGCATACACCTTAGAACTTCTAACACAGCAGTTCTCACACTGAACATGGGTCAGAACCTCCTGAGTGAGGGCGGGTGCAGCCAGAATGCGGGCCCCACCCCCAGAGCTTTGGATTCAGTTGGCCTAAGATGGGACTAAAGAATCTGAATTTCTAACAAGTTTCCAAGTGACACTGATGCCATTGGTCAATGGACTACTCCTGGAGAACTGCTATACAGGGGAAGGAACCTGAACAGAGCAGCAAGTAGACTCAGAGGTAGCTTGGAGACCGAGTGGTTCTTAAAGGTTTTTCTTTCTTTAGTTTTGGAATTCCACTTGTCCCCACCCATTTGATGAGCTCTCCAAAACTTCAACTAAAAAACATAAGTAAAAGTAATAAATTGCTATCTTAAGCAGGCTAAATCTTTGTTTATGGAATATATTTTTTTCTATGCAGGCCCCTCAACACATACACACACCCTCCCCAACCACCATTACCTCTAACACACACAGAATTGCTCTCTTAGTACACTTGGGGCCATGGAGTACAGTCTGGAAAACCATAGATAAGAAAGCATGCCAAGTTACATAGTCAGAAATTGCTAGAAAGATGCATGTGTATATGTATTTTAAGCACTTACCTTTTTTACTGTTGGTAGTCTAACTTTATCTCTTCCCCCATACCTTATAATTTTATTTCAAGTTCTTCCACTTAGACAAACTACTTATCTGTTTCATGTCTATGCAGCTAATCAAATCATAGCTACATTAATGGAGTTCTTTTTAAAAGAGTACCATTTAAACAAAGAAAGTTGAAGAAGGAAAAATCACTTTTAAAAATGATACCTGATTAGTGTGTCTTTGGAGCCCCTCCCCTATTTGCTCTTTAAACCTTTTACAGAGATCAAGTTAATCTCCGCATTCAGTAGCCCTGTTTTTGTATAGAAATATTCTCTCTACCCCTCCCTCTTAGCTCCCCAAGTCGTTTTGGAAATGTTCTTCCAAGTTATAGAAAAGCATTTTGTAACAATGAATGAGAGTAGGTAAAGCCTTCATTAAGTTCATCTTATTTCTGTGAAAACATGAAGAAGCCCATGGAAAGTATTCTTTGTCCTTCCACTCCATGTCATGTTCTTGTTCTCATGTGAAAGATGGGAGGAGGAGCATGCGAATAAGGGTTTCAGACATGGTACCATTCAAGAACCTAACTTAGCCTTGCTGACTGCAGATGCTGTGAAACCTACTGTTATTTTACTGAGTGTTATGTATGGCTTCTGCTTCTAGAGTGCATAGAAAATGTCATTAAATATATTCATCAGCTGGAATATTGTAAGTATGAATACATGTGCTTATATAATAATGCTGTAGAAGGTGATTTCATGTATCAGCCATGTAGGAAAATCTAGCCTGGAATTTCAAATATATTCAACTCATTAAACTGGGGGGTGATCTTTTAGCAACCTTATACTTAAATGATTCTTTTAAACCAGGAGAGAGTCTCTGCCCTAAAGACAAATATTGGGAGAGGCTTAGGATTAAAGGTCAGAAATGCTGGGTTCTAGTCACATATCCTCTATTTATTAGCCAAACCACTTATTTCTGGGAAAGCATGAAGGATCCCATGGAAAGCATTATTTGTCCTTTCCACTCAGTAAGTCAACTTCTTGTACATCTAATTCCTCACCAGTAAATTGGGAATAGCAGTCCTTGCCTTTCTGCTTCATGGGATTTTAGTGGAAACTACAGGACACAATGTACACATATGCACTTTTAAATTCTAAAGCTCTCTATAAATGGGTAGTTTTTAATTCCTTGTTCTTCGCTAAGATAATTATTTCTTCTTGCTTGCCAAAAAATGCGTTTTCTTCTTTCCTTCTTTGTCACTCTTATTTTTTAACAAAAGTTTCAGACTCAAAGTTTAGAATCCTATCTTTAAAGTCCACTGTCAGAGGCGGTCTCAACTGTAGTGGAAGGGGAAGGGTGAATAGACAGACAGATGCTGAAATTTATTGCTGCATTATATAATAACTAGAGGCCCAGTGCACAAAATTTGTGCATGGGTAGGGTCCCTAGGTCTGGCTGGCAATCAGGGCCAATTGGGGCCTTCCTGCTGCTGGCCAGGGTTTCCTTTGCTCTGCGCCACCCCCTGGTGGTCAGCACATATCATAGCAAGGGATTGAACTCCTGGTCTCTTGGTCAAACTCCCGAGGGGACACTTTGCATATTAGCCATAGATAGATAGATAGATAGATAGATAGATAGATAGATAGATAGATAGATAGAGATATGGATAATGAGTATGAAATCTTAGAACTAAAAAAACCCAAAAACCCTGAAGATCGCTCGGTGCAATTAATTCTAAACAATTATATTAACCTGAGAAATCCCTGATTCAAAGACAATCCAATGTGTAAAACAGATGGGAGCAGTGGGGCTCTAGGTGAAATGGGCATGGAGTCCTGTGGAAGTTACAGGTGCCCCATGAACCTGCGTTGCACTTCAGAACGCAGTGGAATACTGCTCTTGGATCTCACAGAGGTGAGGAATGTGGAGGCCAAGGTCCATGTTGCTATCAATAAGGCGGAAGCATGAAGCAATGTTGTTCAAAATTTGCTGATCACCAAGGTAGGGAAGTATATAATGTGCTTTAGAAAGCTCTCCACTGAAATGTTCAAATATTAAAAGTATTATCTTTTAAAGAATGTAGTTTTCATTTTCCTAATAAAAGCCCCTGAAATGCATGACTTTTGATGAGGACAGATAAAAATGTCTGGCATTACTATGATGTAGAATAAAAATAGTAATTCAAAGTGGAAGGGGGAGTTATACAAAATAGGCTATAACATTATAATGTTACATAGAAGGAATTGGGACAAAAAATGGAGCTAATTCATAATTTAGAAGTGGAATAATATGAAGTTGAGAGAAAAGTTGAATTTTTTCATGAAATGACGATGAGTGAAGAAAACATACTTGACAATATGAAAGAAATAGCAGTCTCTGTGTTTCTGAATCCAGAATGTAAAGATTTTAAAATATAGCCACTTTTTCTGGCTTGTTTTATGAGCTATTTAATTCAAAGAGAACAGATAGTCATCTTTAGTAGACTTGTTAATTTTCGTAATTTCAGCTTTGGTTCACTGACTTGAATATTGTGACTCAGAATTGAGGATAATAAAAAACATTAAAGAAAATATTTAAATACTAGAATGAGAAATAAACATACCATACCTACCAATATAAGTCACATGTGTAATTTCTAAAATTTGTATTGCAAGTTTCAAACATAGGCAAGACATTTTGTGTGGACATATTGATTTTGTCTTTTATTGTACCTTGAATACTTCTTTAGTGAGCTGAAACTCTTAATATGGCAATAAAGACTTTTAAAAGTGACTGGAACTTACAACTAACCTTACAACTTAAAACCACCTGTAAAATCCATTTGCAACATGAAAAAAAGATATTAAAATCCATACATAATTAAAAATTAATATCACAGTGTGGATAATATTATATTTCATATTTATATTTATTTTATGCTAATCTTGACACAGGCATATTTGATACATGTAAATGGTCTCTGGTATTCTTGAAGTACCTACAGCTTGTAATATAAGGAGCTGAAAAACTAGACTTTATTTTGAGCACTCACCATTTTTACATAACCTTAAATTTATCATGAGGTTTTAATATAGTATTAATAATTGCATAATTAATAATTAATCCATAAATAATTTTTATTTAAAATTTATAACTGCCTCATTTTTATTTTTGAAAATTGTTACAACATTGGAAATGGTAATGCCAAATGAGGTGTTCTGGTATAAAACACTATAAGCTAACTCTCTTTGGAAACGGTAATGCCAAATGAGATACTTTGGTTTAAAACACAATAAGCTAACTCTCTTTTCTTTTGCCAAAATTTCAGACCCAAAGTTTGCGTCTGTCAGATGTACACAGAAAATCACATCTTTGGCGAGGAATAGTCAGTATCACGTTGATTGAGGGGCGAGACCTCAAGGCCATGGATTCCAATGGGTTGAGTGACCCCTACGTGAAGTTCCGGCTTGGGCATCAGAAGTATAAGAGCAAGGTGACATGTCTCTTTGTGTTCCTGGCGATATTTGGAAAGCAGTGGTTAGTTAATAGCTATGCTTTGGAAGATGAAAACTTTTAAAAAATGCTTTACAGAACTTCTTTGAACGTCATGTCAGCAAAGAAGACCAGTAATTGTATTGCATCTCTTACTTTATGTGCTGTGGGACCTTGGGTAAACTACTTAACTTCACTCTGCCTGAATTTCTTCATTTATAACACAGGAATAAACATAGGAACTATCTTTCAAAAAAAGAAGGCTGCAACAAACCTAAGTCAATGCCTGGCACATAAAGTGTTCAAAGAGTATTGGCTGCTCTTATTATTGCAACAAGTATTAGTATCAGTGCTACAAATGCATCATTTTACGTGCCATAACAATCTGTGCAGATTACTCTGAGTCATTTTATTCAAACTGATTTTCACCAGTGCAAATTGAAAGTTGTTTTAAAATTTAGTTAGAAAACAAAGAGTCAAAATTCCCTCTGTGGCTACTAGCAGTGAAAAATGGCCATCACTTTGCCTCTTCATGCCCTAATTTCCCCATCTGTAAACATGAGAATTAAAATAGTGCCTACTTAATAAAGTTATTGTGACGAATGAATGAATATGTTACACATGTAAAGGGCTTGGAACACTGCCTTACCCATAATAAATAATAAGTGGAAGTAGCAGGAGGAAGAGGAAGAATAGCATCAGTAGTAATAAGTATATTGTGTAATACCAATTATATTAGTAGTAATAATATATTAAATAACCATATTGTTATATTAATGAGAGGAGTAATAATAATTAGCAAAGTCATAGTTATGTTTGGGACACATGTCTTATCTGTGTTGTCTTCAATTTCAACCTCTTTAATGACCAGCTTTATAGATATCAGCTTCATAGACAGCTTGGGACAATTGATCACATCCATCTCGTATTAAAAATCGCATTCTACCTCCATGGGAATATCTTGGCCTTGACATCACTGTTTTCAGGAAGTTTTGATAGACAGCCTACCTCGGTTCCTTCTGGCCCAGGAAGTTTTATCAGTAGTTAGAGATATCACAGAGCTTGCTTGTCTGAGGTAGTGAAAACTGCCAGCGCCCTGATCAGTTACCCTACTGAGTGCCCCCATGGAAGGGGAGGGCATAATTTCTGACCTGAAGGAAACCAGGTAGGAAGGGCAATCCTAAAAACGAAAACTGAAAATTTAGGCACTTTATGGCCAAATAAGTAAGATAGACCAATCCCCAAAATATCATAGGCATTCATCTAAGCCCAGTTATGAGTCACTTGAATTATCATAGCGTCCACCCAGTGCCATCTTTTTCTCTGCTATGGGCTTAATCACATGTTTTAAAGAAACTACTGATTCCAAAAATAGGTATCTATGTCCACATCTGTCTTGTCCTTTATCAATTAACATCATTTCCATGTTCTGGTAGGCTTCAAACATTACTTATTCTTATAGTTCTGCTCTTTAAGTATGAAATATGAAACCAGGCTATGGACACGTGTCGCTCTTTGCTCTTTCTTCCCACGATCTATTGCTGGTTAATTTCAGATGATGAACTTTAAAAATTGTGATTCATTTGCATTACCTTTGCACATAACATACTTCATTGCTTTCAGAGTCTTCACATCGGAAGATCTGTCTCCCATACATTAAAAAGAAATAAAGCCACCACATGCCCTCCTGCTAAAATGAAAGAACAGGGAAACAAATGTGAATGTTGTTTAACCCAATGGGGAATGGAGTTTTACATCAGTATGGGTCACTTGATTCATTGATTCCACCCAGTGTCTTATCTGAATACGTGAAGTTACAAAATTGCACTTCAGATAAGATCTCTTTCTTGTATGTGCAACATGGAGGTTATATACACACATATTCATATTAACTCACAAACATTTCTGGCATATTGTTTTGGGGAAAGAGATCTGAAGCTCTAATCAAAGACTTGAGCTAGAGTCCAGATAACTAAAACATAGTGACCCAGGATGGGTCACTTGGTCTCCAGGTCTTGGTTTTTCCATGTATAAAATGGAGATGATACATCAATGCTCTAATTCTAAGATATAAGTTTACCTGGCCACCCCAAAGCTACTTGTTTTTCCTCCGGTTCCCATAGAACTTTATTTTTTTTAATGTATTCAGCTCAAGAATCCCCATGTGTAGGGAAGTAAGAAAATAAAAGAAACCCTGGGAATCATCATCTTTCTTTATTACGAGTTATATCTTTGTGTATTAGTTGGTTATGTAAAATAAATGCTAGTGTCGGAGTGAGCTATTTCACTTATAGACTATGTTTTTGCCTTTTCTATGTAATACATATCTCTCAACTGTTATTCATGATGATGAGGGGGTGACTTTGGTTTTCAAGATACATCCTTCAGGGTCCCTTCAGACAATATGCAATAAAGATGCTAATGACTCATTTTCAGTATTTCTGGAAGCTTTTGTCAAATCTCACACTTACATGCTTTTCTAGACAGTACCTAAAGTTTGATTTAATGTCTCAAGTTACATTGTATTAAAGACTGATATGGTGAAACAATGACTGTTTTGGTTTTGCAGATTATGCCCAAAACTTTGAATCCTCAGTGGAGAGAACAATTTGATTTTCATCTCTATGAAGAAAGAGGTGGAATTATCGATATCACTGCATGGGACAAGGATGCTGGGAAAAGAGATGATTTTATTGGCAGGTTTGAGCAATTTTATATTTTTGGTTCATCCTAAGGGGGGAGAATTTTGTTAAAATAACATTTGCTTTAATTCTGGTTATTGTAAATGATCCTGACTATTTTGAAAGAAGGGATCTTGCTGCACTGCTGGTGGGAATGCAGACTGGTGCAGCCACTGTGGAGAACAGTATGGAGCTACCTCAGAAGACTAAAAATGGAACTCCCATTTGACCCAGTGATCCCACTACTAGGAATATATCCCAAGAAACCAGAAACGCCAATCAGAAAGGATATATGCACCCCTATGTTCATAGCAGCACAATTCACCATAGCTAAGATTTGGAAACAGCCTAAGTGCCCATCAGCAGATGAGTGGATTAGAAAACTGTGGTACATATACACAATGGAATACTATGCTGCGGTAAAAAAAAAAGGAACTCTTGCCTTTTGCAACAGCATGGATGGAACTGGAGAGCATTATGCTAAGTGAAATAAGCCAGTCAGAGAAAGATAAATACCACATGATCTCACTCATTTGTGGATTATAGAGAACAACATAGACTGATGAAAAGGGACAGACTCAAAGACTGAGAAACAGCAATCAGGCTATCAATCCCCAGAAGGAAAGTAGGGGAGGGTGGGGGTAAGGGGAAGAGATCAACCGAAGGACTTGTATACATGTATATAAGCCATACCAATGGACATGGACAACAGGGGGATGGGAGCATGAGTGTGTGTGGGGGGGAGGTTGGGGGTTAATGGGAGGGATGAGGACACATTTGTAATACCTTAACTAATAAAAAAAAAAAAATAAGAAAGAAGGGATCTTATCGTAGTAAGGCTGTGCTTAGGTGAACTGAAAACTAGGTTTGAAAACTGACCAGTAGGTGGCAGTTTTGACCAGTTGATGGACAGGCTATCCAAACTTGATATCCAGGAATTTTCTCCAGATGTCAGAAACATTGTGCGTAAAAGTTATGGGAGTTGAGAAAGAGGAATCTCACTTGATATAAGATACTTAAAGGAATAAAGAGCATATTCATAGTCTGTAAAGTGATCTGAGATTATATTACTTTTCATAAAGCATATTGTGACCATAAAATGCATTGTTTCCTAAAAGTTCCTACAAAGCAAAGAGTCTTTATAATCTCCTGCAAGTTCATAAATTGGTAGAGTTCCCAAGTTTTAGTGAAGGAAGCATTAAGTGGGGCAGATCCATGTTAATCTGATAACGCAGTGAAGAAAGGACTATTCTGAGGCTTACATGACATTTCTGCACGAAGACAGAGTCACTTTGAATGCCTGCTTGGTTACATGAATTGTTTTCTCACCTTCAAAGCATATTTTTATATTTCTTGATAGTTTTATATGTGTCTTTATAGCAAAACACTGAAACCTGCCAATACTGAAATAAAGGATGCTGTACAGAAGATCCTGTTAGTTCAGGAAATTCTTTCCTCATTGTAGTTCACATGATTCCAAGTCTGTAAACATACAGCCTGGAGAACTGCATGCATACTAATAAACAGAATTTTATGCTAGAAAAGCAAAAACAGGATCCAAACCAACATCTCTCTCTCTCTCTCTCTCTCTCTCTCTCTCTCTCTCTCTCTCTCTCTCTCTCTCTCGTCTCTCTCTCTCTCTCTCTGTTATTCTGATCTATATTGTTTCCTTCACAGGATTTAAAGTGAGAGGTCAAAGATTAGCTTTCATTAACCTTTAATATTTAGCTTATATGATGAAATGAGAAAAACACCACTGTAACCAAATAGTATGTTATATTTCAATCCTTTTAAAAGAGTAGGCCTTTGTTGCATTTTTTTTCCCTCTAGTGAAACACTATTCTCAGATTTTTCTTGAAGTTTATCTTGTTCTCTAGATAACTACCAGTTTAAGTAGCAGTATACAGTTGTTAATATTAAATACATTTTATTATAATTATTGTCTATATTTGTCTCCCTCAATATACTGTGCGCTTTTTCAAGTAGATATTATCTAGATTTTCTTGAATAATTAATTTATTTTCATTATTTGTAACAACCTTAGCTATATTTAGTGACCAAAAGATAATTGGAGTCCATTGGGCGTGGCTCAGTTGTTGAGCATTGACCTGCGAACCAGGAAGTCACGGTTCAATTCCCAGTCAGGGCACATGCCCAGGTTGTGGGTTGATCCCCAGTGTGGGGCATGCAGGAGGCCGCCAATCAATGATTCTCTCTCATCATTGATGTTTTTCTCTCCCTCTCCCTTCTTCTCTGAAATCAATGAAAAATAAAAATATATATTTAAAAAATAAAGATAATTAGAATGACTGTCACATGCAACTTGCTATCTTAATCTTATTACTTTTATTCCACAGAACATTAGTAAAATCATTTAACTCCTCTTCCCGGTGATTCATGATGCTTTTCATGGGCTGGTTCTATGACCCCTCTACCCAGAACTTCTGCTTTCCTGTTCCTTGCTCTCTTTGAGCTGTGCTAGCCTCTTTGCTATTTCTCAAGCACACTGAACACTCTCTCACCTCAGGACTCTTCCCTCCATCTGTAAGACTCTTCAGGTGTCCACCTGCCATGTTTCTTTACCTCCTTTAGGCCTGTGTACAAATGTCATGTCAGGGAGGCATCCATACCAAATCGATTTAAACTTGAAACCCCTTTTCCTAAATATTCCCTCTCCCCTATCCTGCTTTGTTTTCTCAATTGAAGAATCACCACTTGACATACTGTGCATTTTTTAATTTATGTTATCTTTTATTTCCCATCACTAGAATGTATGCTCTATGTGGGTTTTGTTCCATGAGGATTTTGAGTGTTTTCTCCAATATGGCATTTTTGATGCCTAGAAAAGTATTTGGCACATAATAGTCACTCAATAAACAGTTGTCAAACTTTAATGTAATTACCTGAAGCTTGATTTAATACTCAAAATTATGGTTCTTCCTTCTCTAAATAAATACTCAATTTGATACCAGATATTAATGAAAAGGCAGTTAGAGCAACGTACCTTAGTGGAAGGTACAATTATACTTTATACTTCAGTATAATTGAGGAAAGATATTTGAATATTTAAAAGGGGAGAATTGATGAGTTAAAATGTGAAAGTGCCTGAGTAATCTTTATACTTAAAAAGTACTGAATTGTTTTTTGAAGGGAAAAAAAAAGGTAGCCTATACCTTTATCAAGTTACATATATCATAGATGTTATGACATCTAGGCAGTTAATGCCCTCTGGTTGTTAAATTGTATGCAAAAAATAAATTCACCATTTAAATAATAATAATGATGTTTTACAACCTAAAGGGCACTATTACACCATCAGCGCAACATTAGGCAATAATGAGGGTGGTTCATACAACAGTTTTCCAGATGCACAAAGTGAGGCAGCTGGAGGTTTAAAGGTTGCCTAGTTAGTTTGAAACTGGATGACCTGAGACTCAAACCCAGGACTCCTGACTCTAAAGCCCATGCTCTTTTCACCTTGGCTTTATGTTCAGAATGTTCTGAAACACTGAAGCGCTCAATAAAATGCCGAGTAGTCAGTAAACCGGCGTGCGTTGTGTACATCATACTGTAAGTTTAAACAGCAAATTCTGCCTGTCACTGAACTACAGATGTCAAATGAAGGTGAAATAATGTTAATCTGCAGGTAATTATTTAACTTTCTGATCACCTGCATTTTGGCAGGCAAGACGGACTGCCACCTTTACGATAATCAGCTAATAAATCCTCACGATTGTTGCACTTTTATGCAGAGCAGTAATCTGAACAAATTGGCTGCTGACAGCTGTGGTAAATTGCCAAGAATGAGTGCTGTCAGAAACAAGTTGTTTTTATGAACATGCAGAATAAGAAATCCCATGCCAAGCAATTTTATCCAGTTGGAGTTATTTGTGATCCAATATAGCAAGATTTATAGCATTATTTATTAGTGTGCAAAATATTTGTTTATCTGTAAACTGGCATTGATTTGGGGTACATTTATTTTAGGTTGGTGAATTGCTACTGACTTTATTTGTTGCATTGTTATGAGGGCTGGGGCTGCCCATGACAACAAAGATGTAAGCTTGAGTAGAGAGCGCTATGTCAACAACATTTTTATTAATGATATAGGGTAAGAAAAACTTCTTCCAAATGGGCAACTTGTGGGCGAAAAACAAATGCTTTGAAATTCTACAATCATAAAACTAAATCTGTACCTGAGCACTTCATGCTGAGAGAGAAATGTGGGGTGTGCAGGTGCACTCACTGGTGTATTCCCGTGTAGTGCGGCAAATGAGGAAAACAGCATTTGATTGGATATTAACCAAATCAATGTTTTCCGAAAGTTGAAGGTCAATGCATTTGAACATTAAGCATTTTATAGATTCTGATTTGCAATGTTTCTTATTTGTGATACCAGTACTACGATAACTCTTTTACTTCCCATGTAAAAAAGAGCAGGAGCAGTCCTGATGCATTATTAATCTGAAAGCACATAGATAGATCATCAGAAAGTTCTATACTGAAGAGAGTTCTTTTACAAAATCATAATGTTTCACCATTTTTCTTACGAGGGATTGAGTACAATATTTCATTAGGAAGATAGACAATATTTAAGTAAAGAATGGAATGTGTCATTGATGTTCCTCTTGGTTTTTCAAAAACTCAACCTAAACCAAATATATTAAGATTTTAATCTATTTGCTTTTGTGGGTTACTATTTTTCCTTCAAGATTTTCTTAGAAAGTTTGTACTCACTGCAATATTTCTTATACAATGGGCAAAGTTTCCAAAGTGTATATTAAATAGTTTGTCTTTGAGTCACTGAGTGGGAAATTTCACAAGCTTACAGAAGAATGCTCTGATAAAGTAATGCCCCTAAAAGATGATTGAATGGTGACAACCTCTGACAGGAGAAAGGTAACAACAGCATTAGCATTTTATAGTGCCAGAGATGGCATAAAAACTGCATAATTGTGAAACTTGAAACATTTTTAACAGTAACATATTGAATTCTTTATAATGCAAAATTCCAAAGAA